GTGTCATTCCCGTAACCAGCATGGCAGAACATCATTAAAACTACAAAACAACCAAATTCTGGATTGATAATTAACTGTTTTACCCTCCTCACTCTGCTAAAGTATGTGTGGATAGACCCACTTCAGTTCGGAAACAAAGTTTTGAATATGTTACATATAAATACATAAAGCGTATAAATACAATATGTTCTTTACGTAGACAACTGATTAACATTCTTATCAATACAACAAAGGTTTCAGATATATTGTATGTTTTAGTTTAGGAAAGGAAGTTTTTACGTCGATTTACAGCCCTGAGAACACCAAACACATTTTCTTTTGTGACCTTAAACCAAAACCATTTCTTGTAATACTCCGAAAGTTTTGCTCTTCTTGTTTACAGTTTCAAACAACCATCCAAATACTCCATTGACCGCGGCCTTTTTTTAGAACAAGCTAAATGCACAGCATTACATTAGATTGCTTTTCGCTTTTCTCAACAATGCCATAAACTCTTTTGATTTTGAATGCCTCTCTTTTGGAGCGCAGCTCGTAAATTTAAAATAATCTATATTCAATGTAGTATGGAAAGACAATAATATTAGCTGGCTGTCAACAAAAACTATGCAAAATCCATATTTTTTGGTTCTTACTAAAAGCATACAAATTCTTGATAAATGTTGACTCACAATTTGTTACGCCGAGCTTTCGCAGGCTAGTAAAAGTGATCAATTCTTGAAAAAAACATTACGAACTGTATTGTGATGCCACAGTATTGCTGAAGTCTACCCTAACCTCCATGAGGGTAACGTCATGGCTCAAGTTCGGGCAAAACAACTAAAATTTCAGTGTTCTCGGTGCACTAAAATGCGCGGGGATCAGAACGGAAGTCAGGTTATTGCGAGCTAAAAGAAGTTTATAAAGGTTTAGGGAGAGAGTAGGGAAATTCTGACCAACACTAGCCCAATATTGCCTTTTCTAATCACCATTTACTCTATTCAAGAATACCCAGATTTGACAGGTTATATAGCGACCACTTTTGGTTTTCTTTCATCTAGGGCCAGAACATTTTAAATTCGATTATCGAGCCTTGCGTTCGTTCACTCAAGCCTAGCCAACGCGACCGCATTTGATAGTTTAACTAACATGATCATTTTCTTTCTTTCCGTGGAAAGGGTTCTATCTAGTTGTCACCAGTTGCTGCAGTTTTTGAAGTGAGCCTTCTTGTATGCAAGTGATATACATGCACATACTTCTTGTAACTAAATTTATATGATAACAAAACAGAATTTCCCAAATATTCTTAGACTACGATGTGTATTATAATTAACCAATGAATAGAGCAATGTGCTTTTGTACCGTTTGCGAGTGCAAGGGATTTTGCAAATGCAAAGCGGCTTTGGCTGGCCTTCCACCCCCTGTTGTAGGCTAGATACTCACCACTCGACCAACCACAAAAAAATGTTGAAGTGTCTTTTATGTACCCCCAAAAGGGTTCTAACTTCAAGCACATTTGAGAATGTCTGGCTGAGCGAGTAACCTTCCCTTACAAGGGTAAGTGATGCGGTAAACGTGACGTAGTTGATGATATGCCTATTTTAGGGTAAACAACAATGGCTCCTGTTATCACAGACA